TTACGATTTAAACTGGCCGTAGTGATCTTCGTATGAAGACAGTTGCCATCAAGAAGAAGAAGAAGAGGAAGAAGAAGACCACGTGCGTCTGTTTAGTTTGACATTTCGAGGTGAGTGCTCGACTCCTCGTTTTTTCATTTTCTCAATGTTCATTTATTTCCATATTATTCTGAATTGTGGCTCGTTGATACGCGATTTCAATCACCTTGTCCTCTTTGGGTAGCATGGCAGTCGATCTGGGATTCGTGGAGAAATGCGAGTCCTGGCGGCTCGAGAGCAGATTCTTCCCCAGCAAAGCAGGTGGCAAGCCGGCCTGGATCGATCTGCGAAATATTCCCGCCAGGAGCGACCTGGAGTGCGACTATTGTGGCAATCCCTGCGTGTTTCTTTGCCAGATCTACGCGCCGTATGAAGAGGACGCCGGTGCCTTTCACAGGACCGTATACGTCTTTGTGTGCAAAAATGCAGACTGCTGTAGGCCGAATCAGAGTGGAAACTTACGGGTCTTCCGATCGCAGCTGAGTAGAGTAAACGACTTTTATCCGGCCGAGCCACCTGTGGAACAGGAGGACTGGGGAACGGATATTGGTATGCTGTTATGATACAAGCTATGGCTTTAATATAAAAGTATACATGGGTAACAGTATATTGTTTTCACAGACGTATCACGGTGGACAAAGACGTGTCATGTGTGTGGGATTTTGGCGCCCAGTCACTGCGGCAAGTGTAAGGTTGTCAATTACTGTTGTCGCGTGCATCAAGTATACGACTGGAAGAATGGACACAAAGATGTATGCGGCGTTGAAGCGAGAAACTGCAGCAGTTTTCTGTTCCCCGAATACGAGATCGTGATGGAGAGCGACGACGCCGCGAAGGAGGCCGATCTTAAAAGTGAACAGAAGGAGATGGACAAGTACAATGCGATGGTACAGGACGGCAGGGCTGGGACGTTTCAGCACGAAGACGTTAACGACGATTTACTACAGATGGCTAGTGAAGAAAAGGACGAAACGTTTGCGGAGTTTCGTATGAAAATGGACAACTACCCGGATCAGATTTTGAGGTGTCTTTTTTTACTGTAGAATTAAACTCCTGGGGAAAGTGAAAAGTCAAGATGATGCCAATTTGATGTCATATTGACCAGATTTATGTCATATTTTGGCCAATGTGACATCAAATTGACGTCATCTTGACTTTTTGTTTTTCCTTGGGTTTGTTTTACACCGCAGCTAATCCGTGTTTATTTGGCAGATATGACAGAGGAGGAAAAGTTTTGTATATTTCGTCACATAATCGGATAACGGACGTACCGAAATGTCCAGAGTGCAATGGCGATAGGCAATTTGAATTTCAAGTACGTACTGTTTATTCATATCTACATAAGTGGAGTGTGAAAATTTGGGCCGTTAAAATGTTACATTTCATGACGCGAAATCTGCGAAGAAATCTTTGGGGGTCTATCTTAAAATAAATAAGATTCTCAAGAGCGCGCATGTCCAAAAGATATCTTTAAGACGTCTTTAAGGTTGCAATCAAGCCGCTGCTACAAATGCCACGGAGTATTTCTCTTCTCCTATCTTCTGAAAGAAAGGAGAAGAAGAATACTTTGAAATGTTTGCGACTTAGCTTGATCGCAGCCTAAATTATCTTTTAGATATGTATGTCTAAAATAAGACTTGGGTTGCGCTCGAGCCACCGCTACAAATGCTTCAAGTGTCTCACTTCTCTTTCTATCTTTTGAAAGAAAGAAGAATACTTCGAAGCATTTAAAGCGACAGTTCATGACCGCAGTCTTTAAGACGTCCCAAAGATGTCTTTTAGACAGCCGTGTTGCTTGGGTTTTTCCTTAGCAAAACGTATTCTCTTCTAAATTAAAAATATGACTTGCAGATTATGCCACAGCTGTTAAATTTTCTCGACTTGAAAGATGTCAAATGCCTTGATTGGGGAATATTGGCTGTTTTTACATGCAGACAATCTTGTGTACCTAAGGATAAGTATATAAGAGAATATATATGGAAGCAGGACATTGTGCAGGAGGAAATTGAATCAAGAATAAACCAAGACACGTAAATATACCGGATTTTGTTTAATAATTAGAAACCTTTAACTTTCTCCTACATTTTATCGTAAAAAAGTTGAGATATTATTTCATCATTAAAAGTTTATTTGTTTATCACATAAACTGTAAGGGGGCGAATAAACGTTGATTAGTAAGTATGTAAAAAGAAACTAATGACACGGTATGAAAAAGGTAAAAAATTTTTAATAATTATATTTTTAGATATTTTAGATAATTCTTATCTATTTTTTTATGAATAATGGACAAGGTTTACAATTCGTTTAAGAGATATTTGCATAATGTCGATATTCCATATCTCTAAATTAAGGTTATTCTTTGTAATTTAATATGAACCATTTTGGAAACTAGATGTTTTGATAAAAAAATTTCGCACCCGAGATTCGAATGTTCTATAACTGATTCCAAAGGTATATTTCTTTGTGTATGGAGCCAGTATTCAGATGTATGCATTTAAATGTCTTTCTCTTTGTCTGACATGTTGCATCACAGTTCTACTGGTATAAACATCTGACTATCATCTGACCACGTCTGATTTGATGTACTAAAAAAAATGGATGCATTAAAATTTGGATATGTTGAATGATTGGTTTTCGCATTTTGTAATTCGCGCGTATGCGTGTGAGAACACACTGACGGTGTGTTGCGGAACCCTTTTCTGTTCCTCTTTTGTTTTTCGGACCTTTTCCGGTCTTCGTCGTTTCCGTCAGTCAGTCTGTCTGTCGATCGCTCGTGAGCCGTACACGAGTCGCACCATACTGTGTCACGTTTCTTTTCGTTTCCT